ACTTCTAGATGGTAGGGAAGTCAAGACAAGTATAGGATAGAACAGACTGTTCTAAACTTGGGAAGAAAACTATAAATCACAGGGTAACCTCAAAGGAAAATGATAAACCTTCACATCAAAAAAAGAGGACCAGCATAAATATTCAGCAAATACTAAAACAATAGTAATGAAGGAAGTGATAACATGATTCATCAACAAAACAAGCTCAGCTAGAAAATTATATGGGACAAAGAAACTGACACCAAAAAAAAGCACATAATAAAAATAACTGCAACAAATTCGTATTTGCTGATAATTACATATCTGACAAGGGACTTATCTATGATTTATAGCAGAAGAGTGGATGATAAAACTATGGTACGCACACATCATGGAATTCTATGTAGCACTAAAGAATAATGTAGAGTCGCAAAACACTGCATAATATGGATGAACTTGGAGGATATTATGCTGAGTGACACAAGTCAATCACAGAAGGACAAATATAGTATTAGTTCATTGTTGTGGAGGGTCAAGGAAAGGTTTATATATGGAAGGAAACTTTCTTTATTGGTTGTCAGGGGTGGAAGGGGAGGGGAGGGAACAGTGCAAAAAAAAAAAAGGATTGACCCATGTCACTAGTTTTGTGTATTTCACTTTACATAAATTATATTTCAATAAAATGCATTTTAAAAAATTAGGAATCCATTTGCCATTCTGGAAAAAAAAATGAAATTACTCCTTACTTGTTCCCCCATGAGTGGAGGGAAAAGGAAGAAAATAATTCTATTTCCTAGCTTCAGGCTGGTCTACCAAGAAAACCTATTTGAAAATTTCTTCCAAATTCCAAATTCTATTTTGTTTGTAAATGAATGCCTGCACTACTCAATCATAAGAAAAACTCTCAGAAACCACAAGTCCAGGAAACCTTCCTCAACTTGATAAAAGAGCAACTATAAAAAATAAAAAAACTACAGCTAACATTAGACTGATCAGTGAAAGACTGAACGCTTCCCCCCCCCCCAAAGATCAGGAACAAGGAAAAAATGTCCACTCTTTTCACTCTTACTCTGCATCATACTAGAAGTCCTAGCTAGTCCATTAAGACAAGAAAAAGAAATAAAAGACATACAAATTGGATAAAAAGAAATAGAACTGTTTTCAGATGATAAATTGTCAACATAAATAACCTCAAGAATATGCAAAACAAAAAAGCTAAAAAATAACTCCCCTTAACTAATACATGAGTTTGTATTTTATATACAAACAGTGAACATGAGGAACTTCAAGTTAAGAAAACATCATAATTAACAATCATGCCAAAGAAAATTAAGCACTTAGTTACAAATCTAAAATGTATGGCAACTAGCCAAAAGGCTAGGGGCTCAGATACACCCAGAGGAATGGCTTCAGAAGCATGGTCTAGTGATCTGTATCTGAAAAATCATCCAATGAAACTCTTATGGAGTTCAGTCCTACTGTTACACACAAGAGGAGGTGCATGAGTTAGAGTCAGTGCCGTGGCAAGTCGTTAGTGAAGAATCTAACAAAGTATGTATAGGATCAGTATACTCAAAATTACAAAAGGAAAGGAACCAAAGAAAACTTAAATGAATGGAAAGATGTACAATGTTCATGGATGGGAAGACTCAGCATAGTAAAGATGTTGATTTTCCCAAAATTGATCTCTAGCTTTCATCAGTTCTGATTAAAATCCCAGCAAGGTTTATTTCAGACATAGACACATTTATTATAAGTTTGCATGAAAAGCAAAGAACCTAGAACAACTAAAACAATTTGGAAAACAGTTAAAAAGTGAGAAGAATAACTCTAAAAATGTTAAGATTTGTTGAACAACTACAGTAATGGAATGTGTAGTGTTGGAGGAGGAAGAGACACATAGAGACACATGAAACAGAATAGAGAATGAGAAATAGACACACACTAGCTCTGGTGGCATAATGCCTAAGGCACTTGACTGCTAACCAGAAAGCTGGTGGTTCAAACCCACCAGCCACTCCTCAGAAGGAAGGTTGGGCAATCTATAGTGCCTCAGAAACCCAAGGAGGGGTCGCTATGAGTCAGATTCAACGCCACAGCAGTAAGTTTGGTTGTTTTGTTTTGTTTTAATATGCCCAACTGATTTTTGACAAGTGTGCAAAATCAATTCCATGGAAGAAAGATAGACTTTGCAGCAAGGGGAACTGAAGCAACTGGAAATCCATAGGTAAAAGAATAAATCTTGACCTAGACATCCCACCTTATATAAAATTTATCTCAAAATGAATTACAGACTTAAAACTAAGTGTTAAACAATAAAACTTAAAAGAATAAAAAAAGGAGGAGGAGAAAAAAGGAAGGAGAAGAAGAATGAGAAGAGGAAAATCTTCAGAACCTAGTGCTACGTGGTTTTCAGACTTGACATCCAAAGCACAATCCATACAAGGAAAAATTTTAAATTTTGGCTCATACAAATAAAAAATTCCTATATATTTACTCAGCTCAAGATCCCGTTAAGAGAAAAAGACAAGTGACAGACTGTGACTACAGAAAAATACCAAGAGGGAGCCTCATGGTGAGTGAGAAGGTCCGTGGGTTGTGGTGGTGTTTACACAAATCTACACACATCATAAAATTGAATAGAGTGGCACACACACTCACAAATGCACGTGCAAGTGAGGGCACATAAAATTGATGGGATCCAAATAAACTTTGTGAATTGTATCAATGTCAGTTTACTGGTTTGATATCATACTGTTGTTGTTAAGTGCCGTCGAGTCGTTTCCGACTCATAGCGACCCCATGCACAGCAGAATGAAACACTGCCCAATCCCGCGCCAGCCCCACAATCCCTGCTATACTTGAGCCCATCATCACAGCCACCGTGTCAATCCATCTCGTTGAAGGCCTCCCCCTCTTTCGTCGACCCTCCACCCTACCAAGCATGACATCCTTCTTCAGGAAATGGTCCCTTCTTACAACATGACCAAAATAGGTGAGACGAAGTCTGGTCATTCTTGCTTCCAAGGAGCATTCTGGCTGCACTTCCTCCAGGACAGATCTGTTAGTTCTTTTAGCAGTCCATGGTACTTTCAGCATTCTTCGCCAGCACCACAACTCAAAAGCATCAACTCTTCTTCGGTCTTCCTTATTCATTGTCCAGCTCTCACATGCATACGAGGCGATTGGAAATATCATGGCTTGTGTCAGGCGCACCTTAGTCCTCAAGGAGATATCCTTGCTCCTCAGCACTTGAAACAGTTCCTTCACAGTTGACTTTCCCAATGCTACACGTCGTCTAATGTCCTGACTGCTGCTTCCGTTGGCATCAATTGTAGAACCAAGCAACATGAATTCTTTGACAACCTCAATCTTCTCTCCATTTATTGTGATGCTGCTCATTGGTCCAGTTGTGAGGATTTTTGTTTTCTTTATATTGAGACGTAATCCATACTGCAGACTGTATTCTTCAACCTTCATCAGTAGGTGCCTTAAGTCATCCTCACTTTCAGCAAGCAAAGTTGTATCGTCTGCATATCTCAGGTTGTTAATGATTCTTCCTCCAATCCTGATACCACGTTTTTCTTCATATAGTCCAGCTTCTCAGATTATTTGCTCAGCATATAGATTGAATAAGTGTGGAGAAAGGATACAACCCTGACACACTCCCTTCTTGATTTTAAACCATGTAGTGTCCCCTTGTTCTGTTCGAACGACAGCCTCCTATAGTATAATATCATACTATAGTTAGGCAAAATGTTAACATTGGTGAAAACTGGATGAAAGGTACAGGAGACCTTCCTCCATATGCTTGTTGCTTTGTTTTGTTCCAAACTTTCTGTGGATCCATACTAATTTCAAATTTAGGATGTAAATAAAAGAATAAAATCTTTAATGAAAAAGTCAACACATACCCTCCGGTTTGTGAAGATGGAATAACATTCTTTCACCATTACGGTCTTGATCATGCCTGGATCTGTGATAGCTATCACAGGCTGGTGACCATCATAAAACCTATGTCAGGAGACAGAGCTGATTAATTTCATCAAACTCAATTCTGCGGTTACAGCCATACAGTCATCCTGATATTATAAAATCTGTACTCTTGATTGTCAAACACACAGCAACATTTTCCTCTACTTCAAGTTAAGATGCCCAGTAAGATTCTGGCCACAGAGGTCACTGGAGCTCTCATAAAATGAAAGGTAATGCAGCTTGAACAGGTAAGAGACATTTCAAGACCAAAAGCTCTAAAAAGAGATCATGGTTAGAAAGAACATTAAAACAAGTGTTAAAGCAAGATGGTGGACACGTGGCTATTTCCTGTATCATTCCTTGTAATAGTTTAAGTTTTCTTTCATATAAATCATGATAAAAAGTTAAAGTAAAATAAAATTTTTGAAAAAACATCAGGTAAGGGAAAAATTGAAGGCAAGTAATTATCTAAGAGCAAAATTTAATTAATTAATGATAATCTGCCCTCTCAGTCATTTAAAATTTTAAAGATATGTCACAGTGTGAATAATGTATATGGAGTTATTAGATGAAAATTATAAACATACTGATCACAAATATGGGAAAATGTATGTACACATAGAGAAAGACTTGGGATACTCAAAAAGTGATAGAATTATGAACGATTTTTGCCCCATAGTCAAGGATTGTCTTTTTTTTTAAAGTTTGTTTAAAGTATTATTTTACCTATTACAGAGAGATGTTTGTTAGCATTAAGGCTAGAAAAAAAAAATGAAGGAAATGTAAAAAGATACAAAGGACTAGAGAGGAGAGTGTATAATTCATTTTTAATTACTTATTTTAATTATGTGAGCCACACAAAGTTATGTGTGTGGTGTATCTAAATTATATGTGATGTCTCTAAGTAGGGCCTGGTCTCTTGGTCATTAGAATATCCATTTGTGAGAATAAACCAATGGAAAGTGGTATACTGTACATTCAGTGACACAGTTCTAACATTTTAGTTTCCATTCCCAGTCATTTGTACCTGCTAAGAAACAATGGAAGAGTCCCCAAAAGTTACCTATTCTTTTGCTTCACAGAGGAACCTCATATGGCTGTATGATCTCATATGAAACATGATGAGAACCACCACACTTCCTACTGTCCCTTTCCAAAAATGCTCTGCAGTTCAGGAGGTTTAAGCAAGTGTGGAGTAGATTAGTGTTGAACCTCTGATGTAAATCAATAGGATGAAGCCTATGGGGATTAGCACCTACCAGAAGGATTTGAAGGAGCCCTGGTGGAACAACAGTTATGCACTTAGCTGCTAACCAAATGGTTAGTGGTTCAAGCACACCCAGCAGCTCCATGGGAGAAAGACCTGGTGACCTGCTCCTGTAAATATTACAGCCTAGAAAACTCTATGAGGTAGTCATACTCTGTCACATGGATTGCTGTGAGTCAGAATCGACTCAACCACACACAACAACAGACAATTTGAAATAATGCATTTGCATGCAATTAAAGGGGACCCACAGAAGGAAAATTAGAAATAAATACTACCCATCGAAGTCTGGAGAAACATGATTATCTACAACTTTCTAGGCCTCATTCAGAGCATAGACTATGACACCTGGAGACATAAGGGATCATGGGAATGACAAGTCTCTGAGAGCTTCATAAGACATAGTTCATCCTATGAGGCTATGGCCTGTGATTGTCCTCTACACATCTGAATGTTTCCTCACAAGTTTATCCAAAGGAAGTTTCCAGAATACTCACCCCCATAATTTTCCATACTTCTTAGAAGATTTCATGTCAAAATCCCACATACCCTGCAAGGAGAAACAAAATTAAGTAGATTATTCACTGAAACCCAGGAAGCCAAAGAGAAGAGCGATCAGCCAAGGGGCAGTTTAAG